GTTGATCTGAAAAGCATATTACATGAACAGAACTATTTATGTTTTTTTAAAAAAGTAAATCGTAGCTTAGCATGGTGTACTCTGTCAGTCAATATTATGCCTCAATGAGTGCAATTGCTAGTTTATCATTGGTAGATGAATGTTTTGTAGAGGTGCCTTATGAATATACTGACAGATGTAATGTCTGCTTTCTAGGAGATCAGTGAAATGCAGGTTCAATTCTCACATTTTGCACTGTGTGCTTTGGCTTTGATCTAGGAAAGAAGAATTGTCATAGTCGTTTCACTAAGAGAAGCAGTAGGTAGAATAGAATGTGCGTTTGTTCGTTGGCACATGTAGCGATGTGATTTGAACCATGAAGTACCTTCTGGTTTATTATAAGTCTTGTTTCTTTTACTTTGTTACTACCATTAAGATCTGAATGGGGCGCCATGGCTCAGCTTGTCATTTGGAAACCAACCACTACTTGCTATGGAGATGTTTGTAAATCTCTTCTTCTTTACGATTCTTGAGATAAGGCAAGAAGACAGATATGTAGAGTTCTCAATTAACAAAAATACACAGCCATGTTTTACCACTTTTTTGCAGGACTAACACTATCTAGTTATTGGAGACATGGCTGCCCATTGTGTGAATAGTGGGTTCTAATGTTTCTTCTTATCATTCAGACTCCACTGAGTTTATGTACAATGAACGAGGAAGCTGCAGGAACTGGATATGTCTAACAAAGGGAGGGACTAAAGGTCACATGATAGCAGTCTTCCAATATTTGTGGCAGGGGTGGGATGCTGTCCGGCTCTATAGAACCGGTAGCTCTGAAGAGCAGCAGACACAGAACCGGTTCTGTGTTTTGCTGCTGCTTGGCCCACCTGCCTGCCCAGGCTCTTACCTGTCCTTTATTTCCCGCTTTTTCAACTTCAGCTGCTTTGCGCGGCACAGCTGAGGTTGAAAAAGCAGGGGGGGGGGAAAGGCTTTTCAAATGCTGCACACCTGCACGCAGCGCTTTTCAGCTGTCTGGGCAGCACAGCTTAAGGTTTTTTTTTACACACGGGCGCAAAACGTAATCACCGAACTGGTAGTAATACCACTTGAATTCCACCCCTGATTTGAGGGGCTGTTACAGAGAGGAGGAGGTCAACCTATTCCCCTTGAGGGCAGGAGAAGAAGTAATGGATGGAAGCTTATCAAAGAGAGAAGTTGTGAGTGCTCCATCACTGGAAGTTTTAAAGAAGAAAAGCCATTTGTCCAGAATCATATAGTCTCCTGCTTAAGCAGGGGGTTAGACTGGAACAGATGCCCTCAACTTTGTGGGTGAGAAGGGAACCAGGCTGCCACTTGTGTGAGTGGATCTGTGCGTGTGCATGTCTACCGGTCCACTGCTCGGGGGGGGGGGGTGGTTTTGAGTAGGCTATGGCCCAGGGATTGCCATTCAAGACATCCAAGGTCCCTTCCAATTCTGTTATTCTGTATTCTATATTTTTCTGTTAATGGAATTCCACTAGTGCAAAGATAACATTATATCTATGTAATTATTTCTTCTCCATTATTCCAAGGGCAGTTGGATTGATTCTAAGACTTACCATTCCGCCTGATACAATTGTGGAATTTATTTGGAGCATGTTAATAACTATGCACTGTTTGGAGTCATAATCGTTTGGATTTTTTGAAACGTAGTTGACATAAGTTTGTCAAGCAAGTTGGGTGACTCTGGCTTTGTTTGGCCTGCTCATTCCCATAAATGCTGAAATAGCTGGAGCTATCCAGTAGGTTTAATTAAATCTCTTAAGCACCATTAAATTTAGATGTACATTCACATTTATCAGATTGCATGATCCAAAAAGCGGACCCTACACCTGTGAGAATACGCTAGGACAGGAGTGTCACCTGATTTCATTGAGGGCCACATGAGGGTTGTGTTTGACCTTAGGGGGCCAGGTGGGCGTGGCCAGCTCAGTCACTCATGTTGGGGGCAAGTGAAAACGGGCTCCCGAGCTGCATTTTCGGCTGCAACAGCCTCCTGCAGTCTTCTGCCAGTGAAAACGGAGCTTGGGAGTGCCACCCACGGCCTTTGTGAGCTCCATTTTTGGCTGTAACAGCCTCCTGCAATCCTCTGCCAATGAAAACGGAGCTTGGGAGGCCCTCCCAAGATCCATTTTCACTGGCAGAGGCACCGTGGGCCAGTTTTCGCTGTTTCCAGGGCAGATCCGGCCTCCAGGCCTTGAGTTTGTCACCTCTGCACTAGGAAGAAGAAGAAGATGGCTGCTTTTATGGAGAAAGCCGGAAATAAGCGTTTGCTTTTTAAAAGTATTGCTATATCAAAGAAAAATGGAACTGGAGCTATGAAAATTCACAAGAGTAATTTCATAAAACACCTACAGTCTCTGGCTGGTTATTATTTAAAGTATCTTTGAGCCATCCTTCAGTTCAAAAATTCAAGCCTAGTTTATTTATTTGTTTATATACACATTTCTGTACCATTCCATCCCAGGTCTTTGTGCAGTTTAGCCAAGATAGAAAACATAATAAAAACAAGTAATAATGTTTATAATCATAATTAAAATTAAAACAAGATAAAATTATGTACCTACAAAAGTTATGTATACACCCATAATCCAAATCCTGCAGCCCAAACATTCCTAATATTCAGAAGGCCAATTGTTTTTTTTAAACTTAGCAATGGAAGGGCTCCTGCCATGTTCCTCAGATCTGTCACAGTACAAGAACCCAAAGTTTCTCCCTCTAAAAAGACTGCATAGGACAAAGAGATTCTCCTTAAAGTAGACAGACTCTATGATATTCCAGAACCAAGCTTTGGAGGCCTTTTTAGGTTAACAACAGTCCTGCTGTGCTATATTCATAAATCTGTCAGCAGCACAGATTAAACCAATGGTATCTGACTGGCCAATTACATTCTGAACCAACAGATTTGGGCTGGTCTTTGGGTGATCTTCAGATACAGTGCCATGTACCATGTAGAGCACACTGAATAATAAACACAAAGTGATAAGTCAACTTATATTTGCTTAGTCCTAAATAGAGTTTTGGTTTGCAAAGGCAAATACAGAATAATTGATCTGCATTCTGAAACAGATTGAGTGATCATGAGTATAATATTTATTTTCAAAACCTATTGTTATTATCATCATCATCATTATCTATCATAGTATATTTTTTCCATTAGCAAGCCTGAAGTATCTAAAAAAGATTAACATTGCTTAGTTATACCTCCTTATACAAAATGGTTCCAAAAGTTACCAAGATAATATAAAGCTATCAAGGATGTAATAATACTGACAGGCAATAGTCTAGTGACTGAAATCTCTTCTGTCTTGAAGCTTAGTTATCCTCTAGTTTATTTTGCTCCTTGCAGTATATCAATATCTGGTCTGTTAAAAGTCTTCCTTATAACTAACTGCTCATGGTCTCATCTACTGACATTAAAAGTGTCTGATGGGCCTAAAACATATCCTGAAGAATACATTTATTCCAACAGAAAAAAATATCACAATCTGCAAATGAATTAGTGACACCTTTCCAAAAGAGAGATGAGATCAGCATTTGGCATGTATCCTAAGTTTGCGGGTTGCCTGGCTACTGGTTCAACTAATTCTGCACCACACATGGGGGAAAAGGGAAGAGAAAAGGAGAGAAAGAGAGAGAGAGAGAGACGTTCTGAAAGTAGTTGGTTTCCTTTCAGGGCTAAACATTCAATCATGCTTTTCCATCCATAGAGTTTTCACATAGTTCAGAAGCTTTTGCAATTAAGAGAAGCTGTGAACTGAATGAACCCCTATGTGAATTATTTTTTTACTCCCCATAGGAATAGTTCAGAGTTGTACTTTCTTTAAAGTAATGAATATTATCTGGGAATCAAAAAGCATCCAGAGGGAATTTAGGTGGAATTGTACGATTGTTCTGAGAATAATTCTTTCAAAAGCATGAGCCATGCAGTGTTGCAAGGATACCTAATTCATCTGCGTGTACTGCTGAAAAATTGCTACTGGTCTTCACCCTGCTGATTTCCAAATGAGCACATTGTTGCAGAAGTCCTGCATACTTTTATTCTCCTTTGCTACAATATTTCCTAACTGGAAATTCAGTGTTCATATCCTGTAATTATCCATATATAAAGCTTCAGATGAGGTGCGTTGAAGTGGTTGTGCATTTAGTTCTTCAACTGTATCACCCTATAGCAGTGGTCGCCAACCAGTGGGCCGGGGACCACTGGTGGTCCATGAGAAAATTTTGGTGGTCCGCAGAGAAATGTCACCCCAAAGCACACACCCCTAAAGCAATTAATCCAGGCTGTGCGGGAACACAAGGCTGTGCCGCCCACATGGCCCACAGGAACGCAAGGCTTGTGTCGCTTGCATTGCAAACAACACAAGATAGTGAGGGGAGGAGGTGGAGAGGGAGGGGGGAACTTGCCTCACTCACCCCACGCACTTCGCCTGGCACTGGGCTGCTTCTTTCTGCTTCTTTCTTCTTCTGCTTCGGGCTACACACAAAGAAAGCAGGAAAAGTCTTTCTTTCTCTTCCCAAATTCTACCAGAAATGAGTCTTTGGGACCCTGCAAGACATCCTGCTCCAAGAGGCTGCGCCAGTGCGACAAGTCTCACAAAGACTCATTTCTGGCAGAGTTTGGGGGAGAGAAAGAAAGACTTCTGCTGTTACTGCTGTTTTCCTTGCATGAAGCCAAAAGTCTCCCCCCTCCCCCCCCGAGAACGGAGCTGGAGACGGTATCCTGTGAACCCAAATAAAGAATGATTGATTGGTAGGAAAATGGGGTAGGGACTTTTCCTACAGACTTTTTGGGGGATTTTCCCAGGGTCTCTGGTCCGCCGGATTTAAAATTATGAGTTTGGTGGTCCCCGAGGTCCAAAAGGTTGGTGACCCCTGCCCTATAGATCAGGAACCTTGATTGATCTGCTGTACTCCCGTCCTCCTTCCTCCCCTACCTGGGAGCAAGGATGGGTGGGAGTTTCCTTTCTTCTTTCCAGAAGCAAAAAGGGTTGGAATACCAATCAAACTGACCGTGTCTCAGGGGCAGCCAGTGAAGCTGAACTGCAGCCTGGAGGGAATGGAAGAACCAGAGATGCTGTGGATCAAAGATGGAGCTGTGGTGCAGGGTATAGACCAGGTATACATTCCAGTAAATGAAGAACACTGGATAGGCTTCCTCAGGTAAGAATGACATATAGAACAGGATAGGCTAGATCAATGTATGATGAATGCTAATATTAAAGATTAATTTATTTTGCCCTGTTCTGTGGAATTTTTCTCCTGAATCTAAGCCAGTGTTTCTCAAACTCTGTAACTCTTAAAATGGGTGGACTTTCCCATCCAGTATGGAATTCTGGAAGCTGAACTTGGCGCATCTTGAAGTTGCTGAGGTGGACAAGCACTGATCTAAACTTTTTATGCTTTCTAGTTCTTTCCCTATTTTTGTTGCTAATGGTTTATAACATTGTGCATACGGGTAATATTGAAATGCTTAAGGCACTCTACGCTCATTATTTAGTAGCAATCCTTATAACAAATCCTAAACATGTTGAACAATTTCAATATAATTGCCCCCTCCCTCCAATATTGCAACCTGAGCTTGAGGGAGAATGATTTGCTGTAGGCAAAAGTGGGCTTTTATGGACTGCATTTTGGAGGGACAAAACTACCGTAAAGTGGGATGAGAAGGATGGATTTTCAATTTCTTCGTTTGTTGTAGGAGAGGAAAGCCTCTTTGTTTTTTGTTGGTTTGTTAAGCTTATTTTAGGGGATTTGTGCCTGTAGCAAAATAATGGTAAATGATATTACTGTTCTTCAAAATTATAGTAGAGGGACTCCAGGGACATATTAGGGCACCCAAGAGAAGGGGAGATATCAGAAAAGTCAAGAAGATAGCTACAACCCACAGAGCTTTGATTGCATGGCTGCTACTGCCATTATGACTTTTGCGACACACACAAACACGCACACTGCAGATCCCCTTGGACCCGCAAAAAGGGAGCTTTTAGAGATTTTATTCATCTTTGTGGCCTAAGGAAAACTATTTTTGCAACCTGGTCTTAAAAAGCCCATTTGAAATACGTCCAACTATACATCCAACCGGTAAATCTGCATGGTACCATCCATCTGTCTCTCAACCACACAATCTTTTTATTTTCTGTACCACACATCCTTTTATTTATTAGAATTTCTTGATGGCACCTGCAGGAATTCAAGAAAGGAAGAAACAAAAATGTGTGGATAAGGTAGAAGGTTTGGTGGGTACCTGGTAACAAATTTGTACCTGTGCATAACTATTGCAATCACTGGAAGCAGAATACATTTTGCAAATACTTGAAAATAAAGATAAAGGTGGATATATAGGTGCAGTTTTCTTGGCAACAGTAGAAATTCAGCTTTGCATGCTCTTCTCTCTGGCGCTACTTTTTAATTTCCCAGTTTGTCTAAGCACAGCAGTCTTCCTGGCAGTCTCCTATCCGAGTTCTAACCAGGCCTAGTTAGGTGGTTGCTGCTACTTACTTTGTGTACCTGGTAGTGAGTTTTTTTAACCAGTGGTCTTGTTTTCTATATCCTGGGTTCATAGATAAAATAAGGGGTCATTTTTATAAGTAATAGAGAGGCAGAATATTCCAATGCAAGAATGCAAATTGACACTGGATTGTCCATTCCGAACCTCTTAGCTTTGCTAGCTAAGGAATCCAGAAAAAAATCTCTAAGATTGGCATTAAAGAGAACTATCAGCCTATATTGTATTAGTCCCCAAAGATTTCTGTTGAACTTGTAGTTGTCATTTTATCCAGAGAGAACTTTTTCCCCTGTCATGGTTTTTGTTTCCAGCATTGTTAATGATAGCTTTTGAAGATAAAGAAAGCTCTATACTACTTTTATATACTGTATATATTTGTTCCCCTAAGCTCTGCAACAAAACTAGATGGTTAATTTCTGAGATATAATTAAACATTTCCTTGACATTGTTTTTTTCCCCCTTCACATTCTTTTCCCCTTGACTTTGATTAAAAGGAGAGAATTTAATTCAGCCTCTACTTCCTAGATCAAATCTGGGATCTGCTGAGAGAAAAAGATGTGTCATACAAACCAAGCCTTAGTCATCTCCCACAAGCAATGTTCCAGAGTATTTACTCCATCATTTACTTTAAGCCAAGGATGCAATACTTCGGTCAGTTGATTATAAGACGTAGAAAAGACGCTTAGTGTGCTTCAGTGTATGTGTATTTAAAAAAAGCTGAACTCATTTTCATGGTGCTTTTGCCAGACATACTTGGGAAGAAGCTCTCTGCAAATAATCCCTTTGGGGCCTTCTGAATAAATAGTTTCTGGAGATTTGTAAATTGTCAGCAGAGCCCTTGAAATTTTATTGTGCTTCTGTAATGAAATTGATATCTCAGTGTTTGCAGGAAATTAATATTTCAGTGTTCTACAGTGACAAGCATTCATGTTTGCACCTCAGGCAATCCTAACGACAGCCTGCATTGGAAACTTCAGGTTACGTTGGTTGAATAATAGTGTATGAAAGGAGAAGTCAATTTTGGTGGACAGGTCAGGGCAGACAGCAAATTAACAGGAAAATCAGAGAAACCTAAATATGAAAGTACACTTCCCGTCTTCATGTCCAGAATATGAGCTGAGTTATCACAAAACTGGATGCTGTCACTAGCTGAAACTTTGATCATTTTAAGAATGAGTGACAAGTGGTGGATATGGCATTGGACTGGGGAGATTCAGATCCAAACCCCTCCTCAATCATGGAAATTCTGGCACATTTTTTTTTTTTGGACCACTCACTTACTCTCAGTCTGCTTTACTGAATTATTGTGGCGGGGTAAAATGAAGGTGCCCATGAAAATCAACCTGAGCTCCTAGGGAAAAGATGATATATATTACCATGTGAATTAATAGCTGGGGGTAGAATATCTCTCTTGGATCAGGTTTTTAAGATGTCTCTCCTAATAACTTCTACAACAAATTGAAAGGATGCTAGTGAAGCTTTTCCTAAATGTCATTATTATTTACCTGACATCTGAGGCAAGTATATAAATCACAGTGTTTGCATGATGACATCATCATGCATGCTTCATCATTTATTGCCTTGCCTCACCCGCCTTACCTCTCCTGCGGGCATCCATGGCTATACCACATCCCAGTGAAGTGAGTTATACTCCCAAAGGCATTATGATATTTCCCTTTCTTCTGATGAGAAAATGATTAGTTTGTTAGGAGACTTATTAAATTTGAGCTATGCTGAGTAAGGTCAAAAAAAATCACAGATCCTTAAGTAATTTCTTTTATGAAGGAACATTTGCTCTGTCCTCTTCACTCTTGTAAAATAAACATTATTTGCAATATGTGCCTATTTCCAAACTTCAGGTTTAGGGCTGAATCGTTTGGCAGCATTAGACTTCCTGGAACCAGTGAGTGATTTAACTCTCTCAAAACCTTCAGACAGGAATTGCACAGTTCATTCACGTGGGTAGTAATCCTAGAGTATTGCTTATCTTCCATCGGTGCCAATTTTTTTAAAACCCTTTTGAGAAAAAAAAATATTTCTTTCACTTCATTTTTTGCAGGGTTTTTGTTTCAAGAGAAAATTTTTCCAACCAGATGTTCTCTAGATGTTTTAGGATCCCATAATATCTGGCCAGCATAGCTAGCACTTGGAAGCTGTGTTAGGGAAGGCTGTTCTACAACGTAGTTCTTGCTTCGTGATCTATTCACAGAAACATTTTTAGGTGAAACCATCTGAAGGGGAATCTGTTTGTCATCTCAAGGTGACTCTGGGCAGCTTACAATGTTTTTTTTTTTTTAAATTATTCTTTAAAAACAAAAAATACAAAAATCTCATTTCCATTAACAGTTATTGTGTCATTGTATATACATGTTTCTTATTTTGTGACTATACATTATTTTTATCCTTATCCTTCACCCATTTGTACCACCTCTCCCATGTCTCATAGTATTCTCGATCCTCTTTGCCTTTCAGTTCCATAGTGAATTTATGTAGTTCAGCACAGTCCATTATTTTTTGAATCACAATTTCACCTGGTGGTATTTTATCACTCTTCCAATTTTGTGCTGACGTGATTCTTGCTGCAGTTAAGATGTGTACAATAAGGTATCTTTTCTCCTTACTCAAATTCCCTTTGATCATACCTAATAAAAACGTTTCGGGTTCCAAATTCAATTTATATTTTGTAATCTCAAAAAGCCATCTCTGTATTTTCTTCCAGTATTTTTTGACCTCTATACATTGCCACCACATATGGAAAAACGTTCATTTCTTTTGTTTACACTTCCAGCATTCTGGTTTCAAGGTTGAATACATTTTCGCCAGTCGTGCCAGCGCTAAGTGCCATCTACAAAACATTTTATATTGATTTTCTTTGAATGCCGTCGACAAAGTCAGCTTCCAGTTCTCGGTCCAAGTCTTTTCCCACTCATCCAAATTTATATTATGATCCACATTTCTTGCCCAGGAAATCATTGGTCCCTTAACAATTTCCTCCTCTTGTTCTACCTCCAGTAAATAATTATATGTTTGTGTTATGAATTTTATATCCTTGCCTGTCAAGATTTGCTCCAATTTTTGTAAATCTTTATCTATCCCTAGCTCCTTTATATCATTCTTAAATTTAGTTTGAATTTGCAAATATACCCACCAGTCTAATATTATCCCTTGTTCTTTTAGTTTATCCAGTGTTTTTAATTCCCCCCGTTCATCTACCAATTCTTTATATCTAATCATTTTTTTAATGTCCCTTGTATTTGGATATAATATAGCTTCCATAGGTGAGATTCAGTTTGGTCTTTTCAAATAATGCTTTTTTTATTTTCTCCCATGTTTGTAAAAATGAGTCCCTTATCAAATGTCTATGGAAATAGGAGTGGATCTTATTCTTTTTATCCCGTAGAAAGGCATGTCACCCAATTTGGAGGTCATGACCTTCTATCACCAAAATTCTTTTATTTTTTAAGTTTATCCACTCCTTAACCCATAGTAAAATTGCTGCTTGATAATATGTTTCCCATTTTGGGAGTCCAAGGCCACCTCTGGCTCTACTATCTTGTAATGTTTTCAATTTTATTCATGCTTTTTTCCCCATCCATATAAATTTCATTACCGTCCTATCTAATTCCTGAAAAATTCTTATCCAATTTTATAGGTATTGTTTGAAAATAGTATAATAGCTTCGGTAGTATGTTCATTTTTATGGCCGCTATTCGGCCTAATAGTGATAGTTGTAATTTTCCCCAATTGACCAGATCTTTCTTTATCTGTGAAAGTAATTTCATATAGTTATCCTCTTTTATGGAAGAGCATCTTCCTGTTGACCAAATTCCTAGATATTTAAGTTTTTTGACACTTTGTAATCCCAATTTCCTTTCCAATTGTTTTTTTTTAACTTTCTATCAAGTTTTTGGTTATTACTTTTGTTTTATCTTTATTAATTTTTAGTCCTGCTACCGCCCCATATTCTGGGCAGCTTACAATGTTATTGGATCAATTTAATGATATACATCTTATTTGCAAAATGATCCCAAGTTTAACCCTTAGCAATTTTAGTCTATACGGCTAGCCTGGGAATGTCTTCCAGGTAGGATCTGCTAGTCAGAGGAAATAGTAATTGACTAGATATCATTTTGAGATCCTGTTTAATGTAGTAGCTAAGGCATCAAACTAGAAACTAGGAGACCATGAGCTAGTCCTGTCTTAGTCAAGATGATCATGGGCCAATCATTTTCTCACAGCCCTAGTTGTCAAGCAATGACAAACTATTTCTGAAATTTTGCCAAGAAAACTACAAGGCCTAGGCCGGACAATTGCCAAGAGTCAAAACTGACATGAAGGCACAAACATAACAAAATGTTTCATTGATTTCATTGATGCAGTTCCCTTTCCTCCTTTTTAAAATGTTCAGGGTGAGGAAAACAATAACACTAAAAAGACTGCACTATTCAATTTGTGACAAATTTAAAAATTTCTGGAAAAACAAAAAAATTAAGAGATATTTTATATCCACACCTGTTTGTTTGTATACAGTATTATTTACCATTTTATATTCCCCTTTCAACTTTCTAGCTTGAAGTCTGTAGATCGGACAGATTCTGGAAAATACTGGTGCCAAGTGGAGACCAATGGGAAGAAAGAGGAATCACAGCATGTATGGCTTATTGTGGAAGGTAAGGGGTCATGTTGCTGACTTCTGTCTGGGGCAGTTGTGATTATTGTAAACTGTGAGAGGAGGTTGCCGTGATTGACGTTAGCCCATTTCCAGGGTCTGTGCAACTATCACCAAAACAAAAATATTCTCATAATGAGCCAGTAAAGACCCAAGTTGGTGGAAGGGAGTAGCTGTAGACTATTACATAATTTTTGCAATCTTTGGTAGTACAGGTGACGTGGAGCATTTCCAAGGCTGTTTCCAGACTTGCATTTGAAATTGTGCCTAGGAAATTGCTAGAATGTGACTGTCCGCCTATGTCTTCACAATAGAACAGGGGTGTCAATCTCAGTTGTATTGAGGGCTGCCTCAAGGTTGTGTTTGACTTCGGAGGGCCAGATGGGCATGGCCAGGGTGGGCGTGGCCAGGGTGGGCGTGGCGAGCTTGGCATCATTCATGTCGGGGGCACTTGTGGTAGCTCGGGCGAGCCTGGGGGTATCCTCCTGCAGCCCTCTGCCAGCGAAAACGGAGCCAGGGACCCCGAGCTCCTTTTTCACTGGCAGAGGAACCATGGGCCGGTCCTTCACTATTTCATGGGCCAGATCTAACCCCTCCCCGTGAGCCGGAATTTGACACCCCTGCAATAGAATAATGATATGAGTATATTGGTGATCGTATCAATTGTGGAAAAAGGTCCAGATAATTTTTCAAGACATTGATTTGCCGCTTGTGAGTGAGGAGAGATTGATGTCCTTCTCTGTTTTAGGTCTTAGATATATGTTATGAAAATAGGGGAAAAGGGAGATCATCAGGGGTGAAATTCAA